TATTTTAATAGTTAAAATTATCTTTTGTTAATAAATCTTTTGATTTTTAATTTTCTGTTTTTATGTTTGTGAAACTTAATATAACCATAGTCAAAATACTAAATCAGAATCCTTATTTTTAAAATTATTTAAAATAAATTTTAGTTTACCATCCAATCAATCTAAAGCATAAATTTGTATAGAATTTATAAAATATTTTAATTATTGTAAATATTGATATGTGTTCAAAAGCTTCTAAAAATTCAATTGTTACTTATGTATGTAATTTAGAATGAGACATTTTAGTTTTATTTTTTTTCCTTCTAAGCACAAAAAAATCTTAAGTTATAATAATCTTACTAAATATACTTATATTTCTAAGATAACAACGAGCATAAATGCAAATAAGACAATTAATCAAAAACTTAATATATTTAAACTATAAAAGATTATAGTTGAATTCAGAAAAATAGATAGAATCCAATATATCTAAAGGATAACTAAATCGACCGTAAAAACAACAAAATAGACTAAATATAACATATCTAAAATTATATATATAATTAAAGTAATATAATATTATAATATAAATTATACATACAAACTATAAATTAATTTAAAAATTAAAGTAAATATCAATCAATTATTATTCTATATTTATTTTATAAATATACATGCCCTTGCATGAGCACGGGAAAATCACCTAGTATATTAATAAATAATAACAATCAATAAGAATGTATATTAAAATATATAACACAAATTACTATATATTAATAATGATCAATAAGAAACTTTAAAAACAAAATTATAGAGTTATATAATATCTAACATTAAATGTAAATCATATATTTAATTTTTTTATAATACTATCAAAGTTTTATATTTACAAAATGAAAAATCTGTGTGGGTCAAATATAGTTTTTTTTATTTAGGTTTTACGAATATATAGTGCTATCTAGATAAATTTTAATTTCTTAAGCAAAAAGAATTGTATTAAAATAAAAGATAAAGATGTGAGGTGATTTATAATTAAATTATGTGAAATTTGATATATGTTTTTAAAGAATGGTCCAAACAAAGAAATTATACATTAAATTACTCATGATTTCGTTTTATTAGTATAGATAGATAAATATATAATATATTATTTTGTATATTTGAAATAGAATTTCAGTATTTGTTTCTTATATAAACTATTTAAATTTTGTAAATAAGTATTTTTGAAACCCCATCAATTTATATTATTATTCTGATTAAACTATAATTCGAAATATTTTAGATAATTTTAAATTTTCATTTATAAATAAAATAATATTTTTATGATATTTTATGATAATTAGAACTTAAATTCAATGTTTAACGGAAATACAATTTTTTCTACAGTTTAAAAAGATGCTAGTAAAATTTTGTTGGATTTGTTTCATTTGTATTTCAAATAAAGATAAAGATATTGAAAGATGTTATCATTAAATTATGTGACAATTAAAGATATTATCTAAAATAAAAAAAATCACACATGAATAAAGATTATGACTTTTTTAATATATATATATAAGATTGTGAGGTTTTTAATTTTTATAGAAAATTTAATCGAAACATTATTTACAGAAATATTCTGGATTGAGTTTTCCGTAAAATTAAAAACATTACAATAAATAATTAATATCAATATATACATAAAAATGTATTTTGAGAATTTAGGAGTTAGAACTTCCCATTAAACGTGTTTTTAGGACTAGACTCTGGAAACCAATGATTTGATTTTACCACTAAATAATTTAGTGATCTTGTCATTTATAAAAAGGAACATATTAACAAAGTTGGTGGAGTTAAAATGCGAACCTGACTTTAACCGGCAGTACTTGGAAGCATCTAAGAAAAACCAGGTAAGTGGAAATTTCAGGTTCAGAAGTCACGTGTTCCGCTTTTATTCGTCGAGATTGCTTAGCTGTTTGCAACTTTGCATTTAAAGCCACAGTAAAGTTAGATTTTTTGTTAGATTCTCGCTAATTTCTTATTGGATTGTTTTCTCTTTTGGTGACCTAGTTCATAAATAAGTACAAAATATGAGTGCAATTTCGTCAATTCTCACATATTTGTTTTGAATTCCTTCAATTTTCAACTATGCTGCATTATTTGTATTATCTTGCAAAAATAATGCAAACTACATGATAACCCGCACGCATTCGCGGAGTGAAAATTTTATACTAATATTTATTCATTAAATGGTTTTTAACATTTTCCAATATTAATGTATTTATCGATTATAAAATGATGAATGCAAATATTGATATCTTAAATCATCATAGGTCTGAACGTTTGAGACTTCATCGGTTTTGCTTTGATTGAGACGTATTTTCAGATTTTGGTATTGTTTACATAAATCCTACTTGAATTTTACTAATTATAGGATTATATTCGATTTGGTCTTCTCAATTCAGTTTGGATTGGAGTGTAACCAATATCTGAAATCATCCTAAAAAATATTTTTTAAACATTAAAAGTTGAGAAAAAAATTCAAAATATTTAAACTATTAATAAATCTGATTTAATAAAAGATATTAAAAAAAAGCAAATAAAACAAACTACAAAAATCTTTCGAATACTATAATTTGTATCTACTAACCTCAAACTTTTTCACTGAAATTGTTAAATTAACATATTTATAATATGAATATCTACTAATGATACTTTATATTCGTACGATTTATAATAATTTGTATCTTGTTTGTAAAAAAAACAAAGTTAAACCATTGATCATAAAGTTTTCAATGTGAGATTTTACTATTTTTAGTTATTTATGGTCGTTTTAAAAATTAAAAATATAACCTATAAGAAAAAAATTATTTTTTTATTATATATTTAATGTGATTGTTTAATTTATTTTAATAATTTAAAATTAAACAAAAAAGAGAGAGGACACAAAAATATGTATTATTCATAATCATTAATTACATATATATATATTAATCATATTAGGTAACTCCGTAGCTTTTATTTAAGGAAAGAAAGTATATTGTTTTATACCTAGCAGAGTTGGTCCCTTAAAAAAATGTCTATATATTATAGTCCTAAATGCAAGAAATTAAATGTTACATTATTTCATTCTTAGCAAAGTTGGTCCATTAAAAAATTAAGGCTGAGAAGCTCTGTGAGCTTGACACGTAAGCATGCTCTCCAAGGTTGTGCATTTATGAATGCTTCATGATTAATATATAGGGGATAATATTTAACATGCTAGGCATGGGCATCCGGGATGGTCCAACTCGAGTTTCAATTTTGTCCAATCAGATCTCGGTTCGGAATCAGTTCGGATTCTATCGGATTCGGGTTGGGGTTAGTAAATCTTTAAAGAACCGGTACAATCCGTTATACTTTTGGATTCGGTTCCTAATCGGTTCTTTGGGTTAAAAATATTTGATTTATACCTACTTTGTAGCCAAAATATAAATAAAATCAGTTCTTCAGATTTAATGTACCGAATGTGTAACTATTTTGTAACCAAAACATAAGTAAAATTGATTCAAAAAAAGAAAGAAACATCAAACTTGATCATTCAAAATCAAATGAAAGGTAGACATAGTTATTAATAGTTAGAAAACCAAATAAATGAAAACATAAAACGAAAACTAAGTTTTTAAAAATGAGAAACATTATTCAATAATAACAAAACATTAATCTAAAAATTTCAAGTTTCAACCGCCACCTTCAATCTTCATGTAATAGATAATTATTTTAGATGTTTAGTAATACCTTAAAATATTTTGGATATATATTAGGAATTAAGATTATGTTCGGTACACGTTCTTATTAAAATTTTTGAATATTTCAGGTTCTATCGGATATCCATTTAATTTCGGATACGGTTTGGATAATACCCATAATCTAAAATACCATAAAACAAGATTCATTCGTCATTTAAATCGGGTTTAGATCTGTTCGGAATCATAATGTTGAACGTGCTATCAATAATAACGTGCTATCAATAATAATACTTCATCAGCTTTTCAACAGATTAATTTTACAAAATAAAATTTGTTTCAAATTCGACGACATATCAAATTTTAATATAACTTCTTTTTGTGTTATATGATTCTTTGTATTTTACAGTTCATTTTCTATTGTTTGCATTAATATTTAATATATACAGTTACTGATATTTTTAAAAATAAATATTATATTAAATATTTTAATATCTGTGCAGATCTAGAAGGAGCGTATCATTTCTTTTGAAGACTAATCCAAAAGTAAAATTTAGTTTCATCAATGCCCAATCGGGCCAAATAACATCAAGACTTCTTTAATCGGTATGTATAATGTGTCAAAATGATAATCTTCTTTTAACACGAAAGGAAATGACTCGAGAGTGCGGACTTGGGATTATGCATCATCAGTTGACAAAGGGATTATGCATCATCATGTAGTTGTCATAAAATACGTGGATGTTACGTCATGGAGACGCATGTATCCTAATGTCGATGGCGAATCGGTCTTGCACCATAATTCTTATATAAATATTTGTTTATTGGTCAAATGTTAAAGCTTATCTTCATCTTGAAGAAATGTAGCTGTCTTTTATAAACATGCTAAGATCACACGAGAACGAGATTATAAAACAAAACAAATTAATAAGATTAGATTCACATGTAGGACCCCTCTGTCTCCTCACGTAAAACGAACCACATAAACAAACTTATTATTTACATTAACACAACTGACTTACTATTGACAAGCTAATGTTCTTAACAACCATATATAGGTTATATAATAAAAATGTACAGATTAAAATAAATGTACCAAGCTCTACCTAACATTCTTCTACTACCAATTGGTCCAACAAGAAGACCGACCACCAATATTTTAGCTACCTTCCCACCTTCTTTATGTACAATAATAATAATACCAAATCCATTACCGGTTGACTATCTGATCCACATACACCAATTCAACCGCGTGGGTTGTTAACAAACACGATTGAATTGGTATATATGGCTCGTTTAGTCAACCGGTTTAATGTCCTAAAAATATGATTTAATCAAACCCAATTGGTATAGATTTCTCATAACTAGACTTCCAAGTGATACTAATACTGCCCCTCCTCCAATACGTGCTTGGTGATTTTGCTGCTCTTGTTGTTGTTGTTCCTTCTCAACTTCTTGTCGGCAGCTAAGCGGGAACGGTTCTTTAACACTTATATCATCGATTCCAATCTTCTCTCTAATAGATTTGATTATCTCCGGATCGATAAGGTTACCATTTGCATCTGTCACATAGAACACATTTCTTGCTATACCTTCTTTAGTCGATATCTCGGCTCTAGCAATGTTTAATCCATTCTCCCTTAATACTCGTGTTACTTCTGCCAACAATCCAGGTCTATCTGTAGTGCATAGCTCTAGTCTCACACCCTGCATAAAGGTGTAAAATTAAATCAGATACTAAACCGATCGTCTTAAACCAGAATTGAAATTGTTCATTGTTTCATACCTTAACCGTTCTTCTTTCAATCGCAGCTTGTAAACATTGGATCAATCGTTGTCTCTCCGGTTCTGAATTAACCGGGCTTCCATCACTATGCCTTACATAGAATTCCAAAAACGCCGTCTCTTCCACCGTCCTAATCGCGGCATGGAACACAATGTAAGCCATGTCCGTTAACGTGCAAACCACGTCGAACAAAAGCTTCATCCTATCCTTGCACTGCAAGTTCACGACAGAGTAACCACGTTTCTCAAGATTCTGTACGGAAACGACTGGAGATGTGTCCGAATCAAACTTCTTCTCGTAGTCACGGTCCATGAACATTCTCTGATGCAACCTTCTCTCCATATGAGTATTGCCACCATACGTAACACATGTCCTCGTATCGTTTTGGTAACCATCGTCTGCTTTTAGTAAATTACGTAACTGCCCTTCTATACGTTGGACACGGTCGGAATCTTCGTCGATCGAAGTCCCGGAGTTTCCGTCTCTAACGTAGATCATCGAGGCAATCCTCCCGTTGTGCGTCCATGCCTTAGCCTCAACAACGTCACACTGAAGATCGGCTAGAACGGCGAAAACCTCTGAGAGTAAACCAACTCTGTCTGTTCCGGTTAACTCTAGAGCGGTTAAACCGGTGTACCCTTCGCTTTTACAGTAGTGAGACGTCTCGATCGACTGTAAATATTTATGAAAGTTCTGAATATTTCATATAACAATCATATAGTAATAGTGACGTAGTTAAATGGTAACTTTAGATTTACCTTTTCAATGTAATGGATTAGGTTCTCGTCAGTTAATTTGTTTCCATTAAGATCGCTGACATGAAAAACTGAAAATGCCAAAATAAAAAAATCGAATCAAGTAATTATTATTACTGCCTTTAATTAGCAGTATAATATAATTAGCGTGAGAATTAGGGATAATTACCATCCATGTTCCATTTTCCGTCGGAGGAAATATAAGCTTTCCTAATCCAGAGATTCATATCGGTGAGAAGCTGTACAGATTCTAGCAATATCCCTGGGCTTCTTGCGCTATCAATCTAACAAGAAAAATCAAATAAATATTTTAATTATTATTATAAATAATTTTGAAATGAAAAGGAAGAAACAGAGGAAGGTAGCGTGAGGGTAAAAACCTTGACGACAGTTGAATTAGGGCAAACACCATTGTCAATCACGACCCTGCAAGTGACCAAAAAGACAGTGACCTTTTAACCTCACTCTTTTGTATGAATCAAACAACCAAAACATTATAAATAAAAAATTACCAACAATTTTGACTTGTAATTTATTATATATTATACACTAATATACGATGGTGAAGCAAGGAAATGACAAAGACTTCCATGCAAATTGGAGATTATTTGTTCTCCATCAATTCATCAAAACCCTTATATTCGTATAAGCAAGCTCATCCTATTCCTATGATGGTTAATAATTAATTTTGTGAAATTGAAGGACTGGTTAAATATAGAAACGTTAACGGAGAATTAAGTTTTGAATGATTACAAGAAAAACAGAGGTTATCTGGAAATAAGATCTTGATTTTCTTTGGGTTAAAAGATGTTGATAATTTTCGACATAAGATTGGGTTCTATAAGAAAGCAACGAAGAGAAATAGAAAAAATAAAAACCTGGGCATGTTCATCCGTACAACGAGCTTCTCATATTCATTAGAGCAATCGGATAACTCCATCTTTATTCTTCAATTATTCTTCTTGCTCCTTTGTTGCGGAAAACAAATCCTTCAAACTATATCTCACGAAACACCCTTTTTATCCTTCTTTCTCCTTCAGATGTTATGACGAAGCTGTCATAAGAAAAACAATTATGTCTTTGCACAGGGTTGTTCTTTCTCTCTATCTAAAAACCACTCTGTCTTTCTCTCTCTCTCCTCTTATGGGGCAGAGTTACTTCCAAGTCTGTCTTTAAATATTTAATAGGATAAGAAAATAAATGTTAATAAAATATCCACGAGGCGTTACGACCGGCTCTTGAAAAATCAAAACAGACGCTGACCTGTTCCTGTTTTTGGATTCCTCTAGGGGCTCCCATAGAAAGAAAATCTAAACCATTAGAATTTTCAAACAAAACTAATCTTCTTATTAAACTTTCCTTTCTGTCTCCTTTTCACCCATCTTTCTTGGTTCTTACCGATTTTCTCTTTTCCTTTTTTTTTCTTGTTTTCTTTTCTATCTATATTATTATTTGTTAAGGCTTTGACTGGTGACCAAAGGAATGTGTGAGAATAGTTAATTCCTCTTTATTCCTTAAATTTGACACCATTTGTAAGGAATCTATTCTATTAAAACAGAGTCATTCTTTTTATCTACTGATACAAGTTGTCATTTAAATTTGGATCCATTCTAGAATGTTACAAATAATATAAGTCATATAATTGGTCGAACCATATTACTTAAATTAAACCAACACAATTAATGTAAAGAAACGACCTTAATGTAAACTACCTTCAAAATATGGCAGGTATCTATGTATATACCGAAAACACATATTTTCTCCTACAAATATGGAATGTTCTAAAAGAATATATATAATCAAAATATGGAATATGAAATCTACTAATTATACTTAAATTAAACAAGTGGTTATTTATGAAATATAGTCTTGGGCTTACTTTTATTTTTTGAATAAATTATATAGTTTGGTTTTTGGACTTAGTATTAAGAAAAAACCTCTAAAAACATTGAATAAACTTTTTACCTTAAAAGATGAAAAAATCAATTATTATTTTCAGACCCAAAAGGTATTTAATATTTTTAACAAAACAAAATTATATATTATTAATCATTTATTTAAATCATGTACTTTAAAACATGTTAATATTTTTTTTTTTAAATAACAATCACTTTGTTTTGATAAATTTCAATGGTAACTTTTAAATAGTCTATTGTTTTATTTTTCTTAAATAATTTACTGATTAAAAAATGTAAAGCAAAACCAAAAACCAAATCTAAAAACTAAAATCCAAAACCAAAAGCTGAAAACACATCTTATATTTTTTTGCTTTGTTTATTTACAAAATAAAATATTTCAAATTTTTATTTTAAATTTGTTGTCATCTTTTCAGTTTTGAATTAGATGTTCGATTATTTGAGATTTGTTTGTTGGTAATATTAGTTTAAACTAACTCAGCAGGTTTAAAAATTAAAAACCCAAACCAAAAACTGAAAATGAAAATTATAAACTTAAAACCTAAAAACCAAAAACCACAAACCAAAATCTAAAAATAAAAATTGAAACTAAAAACTAATGAAAAATAATCATCACCACAAATTTTGGTGAACTGATTTTATATCAAAATATTCTTTAAAATAAGACAAAACACAATTATATAAATTTTTAATCATAAAAAAATTCCGCGCTTTCAAGTGCGGGTCAAAATCTAGTTATAATAATTAATTTCTCTTCGTTCTTTAAATTTGACACCATTTATAAGGAATAACTTTTCTTCAATATTCCTTCTCATTCCTTTTAATTTAAGGAATCAAAGAACAAAATCATTCCTTATCAAATTCGGGGAGGAACAGCATGGAACAATTGTTCCTATTATTTTGTTCCTCTTCATTCTTTTTCTCCTTATTCCTATTATTCCTTTGGTGGTCACCAGTCAAAGCCTAAGTGATTTTTCGCATCGGAGCTCTCACGTTAAAAGTTAGAATAGTTAATATCGTTTACTAGGTGTTTTACCCGCACATGCGGGCTTAATTATTTTTAAATAATTTTAAAAAATCATTAAAATAAATGATTATTTTCATCCAAAACATTTGACCTAAAAACATTAAACTTTTCTACATGATAAAGTTATTCATAAATTAAAAAAATACTATTTTTCCTTTAAAACTTTGAAAAATCTAAAGTCTATTTATTTTCATCCAAAAAATTTGACCTAATACATTAAACTTTTCTACATGATAAAGTTATTCACAAATTAAAAAAAAACTATTTTTTCCTTCAAAAATTTGAAAAATCTAAAGTCTATTTCATTTCTTCTTAATTGATAAAAAATATAGAAATCTATCTTTCCATTTGAAAAATTGAATCGATAAATATACATTCAAAAATTGATCTTACAAAAAAAAATTAGTTTGGATAATAATACAATATATTTGAATTTATTTTTCTCAAACACGTATTTTCTTTCTTTTTAATGATCTTTTATTTTATATGATTAATTCATGTTTAAGGTTTAAATATATAAAATATAAATTTAAATTTAATTTAACGTGTGAGTTCAGATGAGAAAGTTAACTTCTTAATTTTATATAATAGAAAAAATATTATTTGATTTTAAAATTATTTTTAATAATGAACATAAATTACAAAGAAGTATATGTAAGTATTTTTAAATGAAAGTATAAATATTATTGGTTTCAAAAAATGAAACATAATTAATACTTTATCATTATAATCTTTCAATTAGTAAAAGATGTATTAATAAAATAATTATAAAATGTTTAGACTCACAATTGCGGACAAAACACCTATTTTTTGATAATTAGAGAAAAATTCATACTCCTACGAATTTAACAAATCATGAAATAATATATAGAGAGAGTTCGATTTATTTCATTTGTTAGTTTTGAAATAAATATCAGAAAAATAGATATTATAATAATAGAAGTATTCAACTGTTGAAATATTCTGTAAATATTGTTTCTGCAGTTGTATATGTTTAGATGTTCATGCACGAACATGAGAAATGTATTAGTAAGAGATAATAAATTAATATCTAAATAGTAATTTACTCATTTTTAATTGGTTAAGTTTTAATTTCATAGTTAAATTTTCACAAAATCAAGAAAAAAAAAAGAAAAGATACAATGGCTCGGCCGTACAACCGGTAAGTGAACACTTCGAGCTGGTGGGTCTGTCATGGTCCCCGTGATATTTGGGAGAGTTGTAGATTTACCTTTTTAGTGAGTCAGCGGTGAATTTAACGACGTAACAGTTAACGCCGTTAGGACATATGATTTGTTGGTTATTCGGGTTGTAACCCAGAAATTTGTGAATTATATACTTGGATAATGATTGAATCGTGCACGAGGTCACTTTCCTTAAAGAGTATTTCGACCCTATTCCAAGCCTTTGGGTTACACGAAATCCCTTTGTAGGATAAGACAATCAAAGTCACATTCTTGTTCTAGGCTAAGATACAAGAATAACAAATAGAGTTTTAATGTTTATATGTGTTTCTTCAAAGATCTTTGATGATCTTTAAACAATAAATCTATTTCTCTCTTACTTTCTTACTAACTATTTGTTTCTGATTTTTTCTATCTGTCTCTATGTCCATTTGCCAATGCCTACATCCCTTTATATAGAGAATGAAAGGTTGCAACCAATGGTTGCAATGGTTAATCCAAGAGATGCAATAATTAATACTAATGGTTGCAATGGTTAATGAAGAGTTGCAATTGTTAATACCAACAATTGCAATGGTTAGTAAAGAGTTACAATGGTTAATAATCAAGGGTTGCAATCATTAATATGTTTAATCACCAAAGGTTGCAGATATTAATATGGTTATCACCAAAGGTTGCAATCATTAATATGGTTATTACCAAAGGTTGTAATCATCAATAGTTGCAAGCTTTTATTTATGTAGTTATGATTGTTCACATAAACAATTTCAATGGTTCATTGCACTCTTTCACTTAAACTCTTTCACTTAAATATATAACAATCCTCCCCCATTTAAGTGAAATCATAGATTTATTAAATAAATAATACATATATCAAACTCATGCATAAATGAAAATGTTCGAAGAATTGAATTTTCATCTTAGTGTAATACACATTCCAAATGCTCGAGAATCGAGATGTCCTACGGATTGAATCCCTCAACCCATTTTGAGCACATGAAGATAATACACACACGTGTTTCCACACTACTCTAAGTGTTTACTCGACACTATTATAAGCCATGTGTCCCAATCCATTCATGAATATATACAAAGCCAAGTCCCAGCTTATTGAAGCGGCATCACTTCACATTCATATAGGTAAATACTTTCACTCATGCACCTGCAAATGCACTTTTTCAAAGTATTTATTAAGAATAATATTTCAACCTATCCCTTCTTGCAGGTCTAAGCACAAACCTTGGGATGACAAAAAAAAAAAATTGTGCTTCAATCTTTAAGTGTAGGCTTTCCACATTGAATTCAGCCTCTAACGTCGTATTAGAGGGGAATTGGGTATCCCACCATTAAAGATTTCAAATGGACTTTAAACTCATTCCTTGAACCGACTCAACTTCCAAGTCTCTAGCTAATCATTTCGTCAAATGATATGCTACCTTTCTTTCAGACCGAACAATCTCTTTGGTAATCACCCCATGAGTGATCAGCTCACATACTACGCTATATCTAATGCTAGGTGTCGCGACTTACCATTATACACTTAGTTATAAACCTTAACCAAGACTTCTTAACTATCAAAGATAGAAACTGGTGATACTATTTCGGCCAAAACAGAATCTTATAAATTAAATTATTTATTCAATATTCTGTTTACTAGCATATGCTAATGTTACGAACTTTTATTTTATAGTCAAATTTTTCATGCAACTTTGCTCCTTGGAAGTCCATGAAATGGCACCTCCCTAAGCAAATACACTCAACCACTTATAGAAGAATGATCTTCTATATTGATAATCAAATTTGCATCTAAATACCCTTCTACCAACGAAGAAAATTTGACATAAAACAAACCATAATTAATGTTTTCATTCAAACACTCGAGTTGTGATATTTATTGTCCTTTATAAGGTCCAGTGTTCACACTCGCATCCATGGGAGTTGTCATTGGAGAACAATCTCACAATCAAACGTCTTAACAACTTTCTCAATACAAAGAGAGTTTG